ACAAAATTACATATAAGAGGTTGTGAGGGGAATAGGAAAATAAACAAGGAGAGAAATGAATTACAGTAGATGGAGTAGAGAGAGAAGATGGGAGGGGAGGGGAGGGGGAATTTAGGGCATAGGAAAGGTAGCAGAATACAACAGTTACTAATAGGGCATTATGTAAAAATGTGGATATGTAACCGATGTGATTCTGCAATCTGTATTTGGGGTAAAAATGGGAGTTCATAACCCACTTGAATCTAATGTATGAAATATGATATGTCAAGAGCTTTGTAATGTTTTGAACAACCAATAAAAAAAAAATCCAGAACAGTTTATTCTACAGTATCTTATATCCTCTAGCTTTACAAAAGCCAATAAAATGATTTAATGAGGTCCTTGAAACTCGGTTATGATATCACTAATATTTATTGAATATTCAATTTTTAAAATCTATTGCAGTGATAAGAAGACTAAAGTAAAAAGTCACATGACAGGTTCTAGTTCCAAATCTTCCACTTAAAGGTCATATCTTCTTGAGTAAATCATTTTCCTTTTCTGAACCTATTTCTTTACTTGTAAAAATGGGGATAACTACCACATTCCTACCATATAGGGTTGCTGTATCAAATGAGATTTAGACCACTGTACAAAGATTGAAACAAGTAAATTCTAAGAATAAGCATAAACATTTCCCAAAGTTCATAAGGCCAATATGTATTCTATATTCTTCATTGATTGAGTGCTAAATTGAGTAAAGTATAGAAAATGTGAACAAAAAGGCTATATAAACTAGTATTATAAAATTGTATTAAAATAGTGGAAAACTCAGTTCAGGTTCCACAAAAGGATGATTTCTACAACTTTCTTGGGTCTCTCCACAATAAAATTGGACTAGACCAACTTTGCAGAGGTGCTTCATGGATCTATTTTCCATCATACAATAATGATTTAAAAAGGAATTCATCCTCTTTTTACTTAGGCTACAGTTTGGTTGAAAAACCTTCTATTGTTAGATGTTTGAAAATCATTGGCTTATACCAAAGTCTTTTATTTTCAAGCTTTTGATAAGCTTAACCTTCAACTGTGAAGTCAACTCTTTCTCAATGCAGACCTACTTTCTTCAGACCAGTACTCTACTCACTATTTCTTAAAATTCAACAGTCAGTTTCTGCCTCCACATTGTTGTCAATATATAGGAAGTTCAACACCTTTGTTGTTGCTACTACAGCTGGATGAGCAGCTCTGCCCAGTGTTGTCTTAGTCCCAATCCCTACCCATTTACCCACCCAAGGTTTGACAGTACTTTATAGCATATAAAACCACTATTAGTTAAAATTCATGATGGATCAGAAACAGGAGAGTTATTATGTTAAAGAAAACCTGGTTTCTAGGTAAGCATGACATGTCTGTAATTTGACAATACATGAAAGCACTAAAGAAAGAAGTGGGGAGGAGATAGAAGCTTTAGCCCCAGAACACAAGAGAAGAGTACTCTGGTGGAAGAGTTATCTGTGCACTGCCTGGAGGAAGAACACCTTGATCCATGGACTTATTGGGTTCTAGTGGTAGGGTTGTCCCATCGTGAAGATGGATGCATTTACTTGATATAGGCTGATGCTGTTAAATTTTTACATCATATATCTGACCTCCTGTGATTTGGCTTCATAATCACCAAAAACCTTCTTTTTTCTTTTACTTCCCTTTGGATCTATAAAATGCCCTAGCTAGAAACAAATCCACTTAGCTATTAGATCCGTACCATAAATTAATAAAAAGGCGTTCTTAAATAGAACATCAGTTTCTGTGACTTTGAGTATGATGAGTCCATACTGAGACAGGGTATGCTTAACATATTGGACTAAAGGCCTAGAAACTGGGAGGTAAGACCTTAGACTGGTAAATGTACCAACAAAAAGTTACCCCATGAGAACTACATGGGAAACCCTACATTGCCCCCAATAAACCCTGTCTTTTTGCACTATTTTTAAAACTTACATACACTTTATTTGTTCAAAGCCACTAAACACATACTAAAGCCCTGCTATGATCTGTTCTTCACACTTTTCCAAAAATCTATGTACCCTGAGCTATAATAGAAACAAATGTGCTAACTACGTGCATTAAAGTTCCAATCTCTGCTTGTCATAGTCCTCTCTACCTTAACAAGTCTAAATCTTAACTAATTCTGAAAGCTCAACACAAGTAACTTTCTTTCGTGAAGATATTTTAAAGTACCACCAAGGCTAAAATTAGTAATTTTGGTGGCCAAGGCAAATAGCAAATTGCCCTCAGATCAGTTTATAACTTATCACATACCATTATAGTCATTAACAATCAGCACTATTTGGTAGGTTCCTTTTTTAACAAAATAGGTATTAATCAGGTGTTAAATTCATTTTCCCTATATTAAAAGACTATGTGTGCTATCAACAATTAATGGAATAAATGTTAAAAATCTGATTTATTATTTTACATTTCTGTCCTCTAAATTTCAGTGCTCTGGGACTTAACCTAGCTTACTTACAATATCCATCTACAATATATACATTTTTGTTTCCCAATTAAAATATTTTCTCCATTAAAAAAGGGATCATGATCACACATATAATGATAAATGAAGGGCCTTCTAATACTATATGGATACTCTTAAGAATTATTTCATATGAATATAAAGAAGTTAAGAGGCCTCCTATCTCATTCACAGCAGTTTTTCCAAAATAATTTGGTGTTTCAAAAAACAAAAGATATTGGACTGGGGATGTGGCTCAAGTGGTATCGCACTCGCCTGAATGCGTGAGGCCTGGGTTCGATCCTCAGCACCACATACAAACAAAGATGTTGTGTCGGCGGAAAACTAAAAAAATAAAATAAATATTAAAAAATTCTCTCTTTCTCTCTCTCTCTCTCACTCTCTCTCTCTTTAAAAAAAGATAATAATGTGGTTGGATTCTTCAGGATCACGAATCATTTGGTTTATCATTTGGTTTTACCATAGCTTTCAAGTGATGGGAGGTACCATATCTGAAAAATGTATGTTTATGTTTGTTGTAATTTTTTCCCATTTTGTGAACAAAGAACATTTATAAAAATTTTAAATTAAAAAAATGAATCATGAAGATATTTATTATTTCTAATAATAAATTAATAAAAGTATTTAAATCTATTCTTGCTAAGGGCAATTATTATTTGCTCCCTGCATTATATTTGTTAGCCTTTGTTTCATCTTTCCTTCTATATTCTCTGAAGGTCTGATTCATGTCTGTCTAATCTTTCTATCTCTTATAGGTTTTCAGTCAGTTCCTTTTATGTAGAGGGCACTTTCAAATAAATTAAGACTTTTTATTCCACTTTCAATGAAAGCATTCCTTGTTCTTTTTATATGTATTCTATCTTCTCATAAAGTATCCTTGACCATCCCAATCCACAGATCACTCCCACTTTTGAATTTCTATGAAAACTAGATATCTATAAACCATTTAATTGCCACCAAAATTATTCTAGTCTTGTGTTATTATGTACAATTTATAGTTTTTAAATATTTCAACATATCTCCACAGTATCTAGGCATAACATGGGCAATTAATGAATGTTAATCATTCAACCAGTCTTTTAAAAATTAATCAGGACATTGATTAGGGAAAATATAGTCAAAATAGGTACCAAAAGACAAAGCCTTGCTACTCCAAATGTGGTCCACAAATCAGCATCACTGGTATTACCTGGAGGCTCACTCTGAGGCAGCCTCACAGACTCCACCCCTGATCTCTGAATCAGAACCTGCATTTAAAGACCTTGAAGATGATCTATAAGCAACTTACATTTGAGAAGCACTGGTTTAGACTCCAGAAAAATCAGAATGGCCAAGATGCACATGACCACTTAATGCCCAATACCTCATCATAATAGCTTATCTGCTGGTTATCCCTAACCGCTGACAGCTTATCAAAGACAGGAAGCCTTTCTATATTCCTCACCACTAGTATTTCTTGGCCCTAATAGGGCCTAGAACGTGAATTTGATGATTTGATGATTCAAATGCTCAGGGTTTTTGTTTGTTTGTTTGTTTGTTTTTACTGAATGAATGATTGAACAAAGTAAAAATAAACTTTTTTTCAGAAACCTTGTCCTTTAGAAATTCTTTTGTACAACATGATTTCCCATACTGCCATGCAAATCCCCTAATTCAGTATTATTAATTCAATTTTAAATGTGTTGCCTTCTCTGCTTCAACAAATGTATTTTTTTATGCACCTGACAAAGCAAAAGCTTGTTTTATCATCCTCCCTTACAGTCTCCAATAGCTTCTATTACAAGTGAGACAGCTGTATTTTTTATTTCTGTGTTCATGAATCCATTCCATATGCCTGTACAAGAAGAGGGGGAGAGCAGAGGAGGGGGTAAACCAAAAACAACTTCATATCAGGAATGTCATATGAAACCTAGAAAACACCATATTTTGAATAGGATACTTTCAGAAAACAAAGGCCAGCAAGGGAAAGAAATAAGAGTTAAGAGAATCTTTTCTTTCCCCAAGAGCAAAAGGTGATACGATAGAATACAGGGAGTGTATAAAGACCAGCGACTACCTAGTGACAGAAGATGGAAACACACTAACCAGCACTAAAGCGGAGAGAGGTTGGAAACCTCCAGGGATGCCTGAAACCACTTGCAGGTTTGCAGAGAAGGAAGTTAAGAGAGAAACGAGGAAAGAAATAGCTCTGTGAAGGATATAACTTACGATGATGATTATTTTTGAGAATGAGAGATGACACGCACTGAAGGGAGAACGAGGGGTTTGCAATTTAGCGCACCGCAAAAGGAAGCGACTGCGGATGCCTCCGACCAGCCCAGACCACCCGAGGAAGGCAACCCAAGCTTAAGTGGGTGGCAACGCCCGGCTCCCCTGGCCATCTCCTCGGAAGCCTGTGGAGCCCTGGATGGCACTGGAAAGGGCGGACTGTGCGTGGGAGGATGTGCAGGAAGAGGGGTTGGATGACGATTGAGCAGGTACCTACCTTGTCCCAACGAAGCCACTGCGCGACAGCCGTGTCTAGCTGAGGGTCGCCGGTGCGGTAGGGGGCGTGGAGCAGGTTGGAGTTCAGGTCTCCCTCTGCGTTTTCAGCCATGTCAGCGAGACGTGGATATGCGGGCCTGAGCGGCCGGCCAAGACACCCAACTGGGAACCTGGATGTGCTCACCAGGGTCCGGACTCCCCCTCCTCACTGAAGGGCATCGGAGACCAGCTGCAGCGTGTGAGTGCCACCTCCTGTCGTAGCTCTAGAGAACCGAGAGAGAGGGCGGATACCTCCGCCCGCGCCCCGGCGGACCAGGTCTGGGTCTCTGGGTGATCTGACTGAGGCGGGCGTGCGCCGAGAGAACAACAACAGTCCCAGATGTCTGGGTCGTGGCCGCAGCCGCTGCCGCTGCCGCCGCCGCCGCCGCCGCCCTCGCCGCCTCAGGCCCCGCCCCCGCGCCGTCCGCCCCGCCCCTTCCCGCTCCCGCTGATTTGAGTCCCCGAGGCAGAGGCGCGAGCCCCGGAGCGCGTCCTCGAAGTCTCCGCTGCCGCGCGAATTTACGGTCCGCTGGGGTAGCGAGGAAAGGGTGCACAGCTCGATTTTAAAACTTGCCTTTCGCCAGGAGTCTTATCCTCTCTACCATCCCCACAGTCCTATGCGTTTCCTTTGTTCTCTGTGCTGTCAAGCGCCCCCCGCCAGAAGTAGCCCGCCTCAGCGATTTCTTTCTGGTGTCCCCCCCAACACCCGCTTCCAGGTTTGTCTGGGGTACGCGCCTGGTGGGGCGGTGCGGACTGCCCCGCGCGGCCTCACGGGAGAGGTAGTTTTTTCCTTTACGGCGCTCTGCGAAGACCGCCAGACAGCTCGCAGGAGCCCGCGCGCTCCCTTTCCGCAGAGGAAAAAACTGTGCTTCGAGTCTGTGCCCCGTCAACATGCCCTGTGCCTGTTATGGTTTGTGGCATTAAGTTAAACAAGGAGTGGCATAGTAAGGCAGCGACGAGTGTCCATTTATCCATTTATCGAGGCGCGTTCTGTCCCTCCAGCCATCCTGTGAGGTAGGTGGGCGTGATCCATCCCCGTGTACTCACAAAGAGGAAACTGAGAGGTGAAAGGAGTTCTCTAAGAAGCAGTGTTTTGTTCAGCTGCCCCAATGGGCTCGGAGATAGAGAGAACAAGATGACTGCAAAATAGATAAGGAAATTGTTAAGCGGGAAAATGACTGGGAAATAGATAAGGAAGCTGTTAACCGCAGTGTAAGAATGTGTAAGTCATGGTAACACTGGGCAATGGCACTGGGAATGGTGAGGGGGGGGGCGGGATTTGTTCTCCAGAATGGAAATAATCTTTGATTTCCTCTCATCTTCAACGGAATGTGCACCTGTCAAGTCATATAACTTGAGGTCTTGAATGTGCATTTGTCAAGTCATATAACTTGAGAAAATGCTGTGTTATCTGTCAAGTTCAGCCCAGCTGCTCCCGAGTTTCTTGGTGTGGCCTTCTTACAAAAGCTATGATTTTGATCAAGTATATTACAACTCTCCATAGTCAGCTTTTTTTAAGGAGAGTATAATAATATTTACAGCACAGCTGCAAAGAAACATAATAAGTGGTTTTAGAATGTTTTGAGGTTCTCAGATGAAAGACAAAATAAATTCAAAGCATTACTTCCTTTCCTTTAAACTTCTGTTTACCATAATAAAATCCAAACTACCAAAGCACAAAAAGGATTGTGGTACCAGTTCCTAAAAAATGTTGTGCCATAGTTGGGAGTTGGAGTTTTGCTAAGCAATTGAATGTTTCTTTTATGGAGTCATCAGGTTCTTTTAATCACACAGAGCCTGGAAAACAACCATGTGTCTGGGAAAGAAATTGATCTTCCATCATCATCATGATTATTGTCCATGACAAATATTAAAAATTTACTCAATACTAAGAAGTATGCTAGGATCTGAGGCTACAAGAATGGTATAATTGTTTATTTCAAGAAGTAAAATCTGTCTAGAGAGATAGGATATATGCAAGAAAGTATAGCTAATGATAAATAGCAAATAGTTGTTGCAAACAACTGGTAATTTAAGTTTAAGGTGACCAATAAAAGCATCAAATTGCACTCAGCTTTCAGGAACAGAAAATAAACAAGTCAAGGGAAAAGGCAGAGGGCATTTCAAATGCAAAGACCAGTATCTCTCAAATCTCCCTAGGAGATTGTTTAAAATGTACTGTATATTCATGGATAATGCCCCCACAGATTCTGATTCAGTGTATTTGGATAGGGCCTAAGTGCCTATATAAAAATATCTATTGATTATGAGGTGGCCATAATCTTGCTGCTCAAAGTGCAATGATAGGGCCAGTGTATTGGTATCTTCTGGGAGTTTATTAAGAAATACAGAATTTCAGACCTTAAACCAGTTCTACTGAATCAGAGTTTACAATTTTACAAGATCCAATGATGACTTATATTTAAATTTTAGAAGTAGTAGTTTTTATAAGACAATTCTTATTCAATCCTGCAATATACAACCAGATTAACAGAATATTTAAGAAATGGAATCACGTGGGGTAGATGTAGAAAATAGGAGAAATACAAGCTTTAATTTGATACCAGAGTCAGCTAACCTTCACTTTTATCAGTAAGATCATTACAGACATTGACTGGTTACCAGAAATCTTGTCCAGCAGATTAAACTTACTGCTTAGGCATTGATAAGTAACCCAGGCCATTGATGGGTAACCCCAAATTCATCAAATCTAGGAACAATGTCAAAGTGTTTCCAGAAGGGGGAGTATAGTAGTTTCTCTAATCTGGAAAAGTTTAGAAACTTTCATTTCTCTTGGAATTTGCCTTTGGCATCATGTATTTTTATTTCCTAAGTCTGTCAACCCTAACTATGGTTATGAAAGAGAATATTCCTCTTGGTTCTCAGAACAGAAATATCTTCTGAAGAATGCATTGTTAGGCAATATCATGATTGTGTGAAAATCAAAGGCTACAACATCACTGTGTGATGAAATCTTAAGGGACTACCATCGTATGTGCAATCTACCTTTGATTCAAACATTGTTATATAATGCATGATTGTATAATTAATAAGTATGTAATACATATAACATTATCATATATAGTTATGATATTATATATTGTGTTAGTGTTCTGTTACTCTGACAAAATACCTCAGATAGAAAAAAAACTTTATAAGAGGAAAGACTTATTTTGATTCATAGATTCAGAGGCTTCAGTCCATGGTTGGTTGGCCCCATTATTTTGGGGCCTATGATGAGGCAGCATATCAGGGCAGGAAGCACTGGTAAAGCAAAGCTTCTGAGAATGGTGGCCTGGAAATAAGAGAGATAGGAAGAAACCAGGGCTTAAGTACCAATATAAAATTATCTATGGACTGTGAGGTGGCCATAATCTTGCAGCTCAAAGTGTGACCAATGTATTGGCATCCTCTGGAAGTTTATTACAAAATATAGAATTTCAGACCTTAAACCAGTCTACTGAATCAGAATCTACATTTTTACAAGATCTCCTTCAAGGGTACATCTCCAATGACCTAACTTCCTTTTACCATTTCAAAAGGATTCCACCACCTCCCAATAGTGTGACAGGGTGAGGATCAATATTTCAAGTATAGGCACCAATTTGGAGAAACATTTAAGACCCAAACTATAGCATGGTATTAATACATCATATGTTGATATATATGATCCAGAAACATGTAATGGACTTAATATTTTGGACTCACCCCCTCATGGTTCAGAAAAATAATATCACATGCCATATATATATATATGGATTTATATTTTTATATATAAATATTTATTATATTTATTATATAATAGAATTACATGAGTAGTAAATGATAAAGCAAATAGGGAGAAATGTTAGCAATAGGTGAACCTGGGTATAGTATATAGGTATTTTTTGTATCTTTTTCTTTTTTCTAACTTTAAAATTATTTTCTAATAAAAAGTATAAAAAAACCCCTCAATTATGCATTTCTTGATTGTTTTTAAAAATTGAATTCTAAGACTTGATGCCCTCATTCTGTGAGGGTAGCAAGAGATTAAATTTTTATTTAAGGTTCTTCCAGCTTTATATGGTACAGGGGGAAACACCAAGAGTGTACAGCCCTAGCTCATCAAGTTTCCTGCTAACATCTGCATTGTCTAGGGCCATACTGGTCACTGACACTGCAAGTCTGACAGCTTTCTCCTTACATAATATTTGTAAGCAATCACCAGGAAACTTGATTGAGGCTCTGAATCTGAAAGCCTCTGTCTAGGTTTACCATACAGCCATCCCCTCCAAAATCCTGCCAATTCCTTGAAGGGCTGCCACCAAGAAGAACTCAAGGACTATATCATCTTCCTATTTTAAGACTAAATCGTGAAGAAATTTATCATTCTACTCTGTGATTTCTCTTTTAAAAGAAGTATTTTCTTGTTGCTCACAAAGATACTTGTCATAAACATTAGTGAGTTCTTTATTTAAAAAGAGAAAGAGAATGTCAGAAAAGGAAGTACCTTGAAGCAACTCAACTTTTAGCCCTAATACAAATAACCTCCTCTTAGGCAAGGAGATACAACATCAACAAATAAAAAGGTAGTTACCTTTGTGTAAGGAAGAATGGATACAGAACACAACCATGATTACAGTAAAGTGAAGAACCCAGGTGCAAAATGCAAACAGACATTTACTCTCAGGTTTGCAGAACAGAGTTGTTACCCAAGAGTGAGTATCTCATTACATTTTCAGTAGCTTTACTTACATAAATCATGTATCATATAATCTATTTAAAGTGTACCATTCAGGGCTGGGGTTGTGGCTCAGTGGTAGAGCACTCACCTAACGCATGCCCAGCACTGGGTTCAAGCCTTCGCACCACATAAAAATAAATAAATAAAATAAAGGTACTATGTCCAACTACAACTACAAAAACTATTAAAAAATAAAGTGTACAATTTATTGGGTTTGTATTATATCCACAGGTATGAATAAACGTTATTATAGTCAATTTTAAAACACATTGTCATCACTTTAAAAAGAAAACTGCCTTTAGCTATTAGCTTCATGTGAATTTCTCCACCTCTGTGACTAAGCAGCCTCTAATCTTTCTTTCTCTGTAGTTTGCCTTTTCTAAACATCGGAATGGAATTATATAATATATGGTATTTGTGACAGGATTCTTTTAAGTAGCATAATGTTTGCAAGGTTCATCTCTATTGTAGCATGTATTAGTACGTCATTCTTTTTTTTTTTTTTAACGGCTGAATAACATTCCAATGGATGGATATACCAAATGTTGATTCATCTGTTGATGCATCTTTGGTAATTTCTGCCATTTGGCTATTATGAATAATGTTACTACAAAGATTCATGAAAAAAAATTTTGTGTGAAATATGTTTTCATTTCTCTGAAATATTCGAC